TATCCAGCAATGCTTGGTAGGCACCTGTGTTGATGTAAAGCGTCAGTATTCCCACGGGTTAGGTATGCGTGAAAGAGGGAGGTCGGACACTAAACCAAGTGATGTTTTAAAGGTACCAAAGTCAGGAGCGTAACCAAAAGGCTTAGCTTTGCTCTTGAGCTCGTTCACGGCGCGGCATCAAACAAGAGGGAGAACTTCTTGCCGGTGAAGTTGCGCAGTGTCATCGGAGTAGAATCGTGTTGCGGTCAGATGTGTAACATTGAAGACTTTTAATACTAAATGGCCAATATGTGGCAGGTATTTCTGCTGAGTGTAAGATGAGAGTTGCTGTCGTGTTAGGCTCGTAATGTTAATTTAGGTATTAAATGCCACTCGTGGCAGTCCAGAGACTTGACTGGGTTGAGACGTCAGTTGATGATGTGGTTCTAGAGGAGCTGTTTGATGTTGAGTACTGGATTTCTATCTCCGAAGTGTAGAAGATGTGGCGAGACATGTATTTGTAGATGGAATGTATCTTCTCTCCTCCCTCCCTGGCTAGACGTAAAAATAAGGAGATGCTAATCTGTGTTTAGCCTGATAAGTCTCTTCAAATCCTTAATGAGTGGAGGTGTTTTGCGTGGGGTTTCTTGGGGGTGGGGGGAAACACAGGAGGAAGTTTATTGTTTGACCTTAGTTTACATCTGTGTGAGAGAGGCGTATGTGTGGACTTGGAAGCCACTGGTAGGCGATGTGGGGGGCCGTTCACATCCTTGGGGGATCTGTCCCCATGGCAGGTTCCTGTGCGTGTGGCTCGATGGTGAGAGACTGATGAAGTTTGTGTGAGCGTCAAGAGCTGAATTATGTCTCTAGCTGATGTAGCATCACACGGTGGCAAGAGCCGTGCCAGGTGGAGCAAAGGAATTCGGTTGTGCTTTTTATTCTGCTCGAACCTGGCACTTAGGAAAACATTTGTTCAGTATTTGGTATTTGGCAGTCAAAACGTAAAATTATCACATCTTGCAAGGCTGCCTAGGCATGAGTCCTGGTGGATCAGCTTCTGCTCGGTTGAGATGTCTGCGTGTCCGTGTAGCAGATGGCAAATGAGTACTAAAAATGCAGAGGTACCGTTCTTTACGAAAGACAAGATAGAGCCCTGCCCATAGAATGGGTTTTGTAAAAAGTTACGCCTCCCGATGACGGGCTGGCAAAGAGGAAATCCCTTGATGTTCTGCTTCCTACCTGGTGGGAGCGGAGCGGTCACCCCAAGGTTGGGGGAGGAAAGAACGGGTCGGGGTTTGAGCCTGTGCTTCGGAAAACAGAGCAAACAGAACGTGTAGGTCCGTACGTGCAGCCAACGGCGTGTCGCGTCGAAGCCCGGGAGCGTGCACGGGGACGAGGACAAAGGGGGTCACCGAGGGAGAGGACCAGCGTGCAGAACCCGGTCTGGTCGCGTGGCAAAGCTTTGCTCCTAAATAGGGAAGAACTCGTCTTTGTAATAAGAGGTGATAAAAGCACATAATGTTTAAAACTTAAGTTACGTCTAGTATTACAATACTTGGAAAACTTAGAATTGCTTTGTTGCCTAGAAAAATAGGACTCGGACCATATGCTAAGGTACTTGTAGCATGAAATTTCCTTGGGGTTTGGATTTGTAGACCTGTTAACTCCATGGTTTTTTAAGCTGGTTTTTTTATTTCTCTTTACAGTTGTATTCAATGCATCAAAACCGTAGGCTGTTGTGTTTGAGAGTAGGCAGCGCTTGGTAATTTTGTTCTCCTCGTTTTGATTGTAGAAGCATCAAATACACTAGAGGTGATTACAGGCAAAGTAAACTTGGGCAAGTACAGAAGAGATTTTGATTGCAGGATGAGAGAGGGGGAGAAATCTTGTAAAAGGCCTTCTGTTGGGGAGTGTCTGAACAATTGGATTATGTCAGAGTATTGTTTGGTGGGAGAAGTACTGACTGAGAACCCAGATGAACTATTCTGATATGTAAGGTGGAGCATTTGTGTACTATTCTACACGTTTTTTTAGTTAAGGGAAATAAAATACATCTGAAGACCATTAAAGGAAATGTCTGTTTACTTGGCCTGGTAAATGGAAATGCTTTGTCTTTAGTTTGTAGCTTCTGTAGAGGAGGCAGCAGTATTTTCTGAGAAACGAAAATGGAATTTTCACTTCTACCAGAATTCAGTTTTAGTCATCGCTGTTAGACGGTGTGTATTTTATCACTGTTTGGTGTTCTATGTCGTGCTGAACCCCCTGGAAAGACAGGACTGTAGATCTGATGAAACTTGTAAGCTAAAAGGCGATTGTGAGAATACGGAAGAGCGTCACTGGAGGCTTGAGGGAAAGTTCCGC